ATATATCTCTAAATTGCAGCGTATCTGATGGAGCTTCCGTATTTCTTATTTAAAAACTACATCTTCTCCTAATTCTAAATGAATTACAGTTCGAAAAAATTCTATGGTTAACCACTGGAAGATGCTCTCCCAATATTTTACTGTCATACCTGAAATAAGCTGAATCTAGCATTTCACACAGTATAGTTAGCAGACAATCAATTCTACTGCAGGAACACAGAAAATGAAAGTCTTTTCCTCTTAATAGGAGGCAGTTCAAATATTAGACAAGACAACTTAGTCACAGAGACCTCCTGAAGACCATTGAATCCACAGGTATTTGACAAAAAGAGGTCAAGATACTGACTATTTATGGAAACATTTTTCACTGCTGAGTTTTCTCAAAGTACAAATTATTTCCCAAGTAGAACGATGTTAATTTTTTAAGTCACACAATAGAAATAGACTTAAATTAAAAACATAATCAACATTTCAGGTGTACCAATTTATCTATTCTACTACAGTTTAGATTATGTATTACAAAGACTGCCTTAGAAATAGTTATTTCTAGTATACAATTCTCTAGTATACAATTTTTTTTTTCCTCCTTAGAATAACAATGAGTGTAAAGGCCCAACCTTAAACAACTGAGGCCCAAAGAAATCTTAACAGAAATCTACTGGAGTCTTTCCATTGCCTTTAATGGCAATTGGATCAGGTCCTTTGTCAGCAATGTTTCCACTCGTTACTTAGCATTGGTCTTTTTAACATGTATGCAGCATAACATACACACTATGTAAAATAAACAGGTTTTTTTTTTACCGCAAGTCTTTTTCCAGAACTAAGTTTTTGCTGTTCTGTTTCTTGTCTTTCATCAGCATCTGTTGCAAATGCCAGCACTTGGTATCTGTTATAGGAAGTTTTAAAAAGAAATATATATATAGTAGTAGTTAATACCTTTACATTAAGTAAAAAATAAAATATAATTATCATATTATGAGTATACATGCACAGTAAAAGCACAGTCTAAAAGTACTGTTAGTAAGCCTACTGTAACACAACTATCATCAGCAAAGATGTTAAAATAAATATCACTGTACACAGCTAAGTGTAAAGGCAGAAATTAAAACAAACACTTTTATTCAGATTTTATCTGGTGTTAAAATAAATGAAACAGCTAAATATATGAAAGGATAGATATCTAGACCACAAAGAAGACAGAAGCAAGAAACCAACATATTTTCATATTTTTGCTCTTATCAAGCTTTAAAAAAAACTACCTCCAACTACTCTGAAATATAATCTGCTATATCTAATAGTTACACCCTCAAGCACATCCGTTAAGTAAACTAAGTGGTTCTGACCCAAGAGACAACAGTAAACTGGCACAATTAGTGGCACATGTTTCAAATCTATTTGGAAGACAAGCAGAAGATGGGAGATTTATGGGTTGAGAAGTTTTTTATTATTATTTTGTAACTATCAAACAACCATACTAAGAAAAATTGGCAATGAAGACATTAGAATAACATATGTCAACTGCCATAAAAGCTCCACACATCTATCTGTCCTCCTTTACACCTATACAATCCTCAATGTTCGAACTGTGTGCTCACTGACTCTTCTGTAACTATTTATTTATTGAACTTGTACTGGTGTCCTAGC